AATCCAAGAGCACCCCTAGTCGTAACATGGCATACTCGAAGAGGGTCCCATACAAGCCCTTAGCATATCATAACATAAGACTGTAGAAAATATGGCAGAATTTAGAACTTTACTATATATACAATCAAAGTCATTTTAATAAATCGCAAATGTAAGTCTTTTCTCACTGTTTTGTCTCAAATGATTTAACATTATATGAACATTAAACTCTGGGATGCAGCCCATACAAAGTTTTAAACAAAAAAGTAAATGACATAAAGGTAAATGGATATTGTCCTCGAAGCTAGGAGAATCACCAAAATCTTCAATCTTCTAACTCCTAGAAACTCTAGCCTCTACTAACAACTTAAAGCTCCGATTCTATGGAAATTGAAGTATGATTTCATTTTGATTATGATCTCTTTATCTACTTCCCTATTTTGTATTATTGCTGAATTATGAGTATAGATCATTGATGATCAAAGCAAGGGATATTTGGTAAGATTGCTCTATTCCTCCACTTTCTTAAAGAACTGCTAGATGATTGACCTTGTATGACATTGTGTGGTATGGTCCACTTATGATGGAGATGTTTATTTTATTGTCAATATATATGTGATGGCCTTGAAGGAAACTGTATTATGAAGGTGGTGGTGATGATCACCAAATGTGAAGCATGCCTAGTCTCCTACTCTAGTTATGATCTTGTTTGTATTGCTAATGTAATAAGCATGTGAATTACTAGGTTAGGTTTGGTTCGTCACATCCCAAGAGCACACACTAGAATATATGGCACTCTCAGAGCGCGACTCGGTGTACTTGACCTCTCGGAGGTCTTGTACAAGCCCTTTGACATCATTCATCGCATACATGTATGAAAAGTAGTGCAGAATTAAAGCTTTTCAAACGAGTTGTCTTAAACCATCTTACATATTAAAAATATAGAAATCACTAAGTCTTGACATATGCCAATCTTAGACTCAAGAATACTTGGGGCATGACCCATACAATACGAATATAGAAATACTTAGTCTATTACAATATTTTGAATTAAAATAAATTTAAAGACGATTATGCCTCGAGTCAAGTGACGACAAACTTAAACTTTGCTTGAATGATAACTAGATTCCAAGAGTTCCTTCAAGACTCTTCTCACCTTCCACCTACACATTTAGATATAAGAAAATATATGGAATTAGTACAAACACATGTACTAAGTATGACATAATGCATAAAATCATGAGAACAGACATTGATGAGAAACATGCTCTTTTTTATTAAAACATCACATTAAAAGTATAAGAATCACACTTAAACAACAAACAACACAATTAGAAGACATTATAATTTATACTCAATTTAGATGCACTTAATAGTGAGGTTACAGTGAACTTACAGTGACTTCACTGTAACTTTACCAATAATTCATATTTCATAAGATAGCATCAAAATACATCCAAAACACATAAAATGAGATCCTCCTACCAAAGGTGATTCTAAGGTTCACTTAGGTGAGTTGTGAAGCGATCACCCATACAATCCATTCACACACACCTAAGAGATTCTTTAGACTACCTAAGATAAGATCATTCTCACTACACATAATAGTATACATATAATATGAAATTCTCTTCCAAAAGGTTATCAAAAGAATTACTTAAGTAATGCAAGAAGATACCACCCATACACCCTCTCCAAGCTTACCTAAATAATCGTTAAGACTACCTAAGTTAAGATTATGTCTATGTATTCAATTTACTTTCCCTATCTAGAGTCATTCTTAAGACTTTCCTCGGTAAGACATGAAGTGACCATTCCTATGCCCCCTCCATACCTTAACTAAGCAACCCTTGAACTAATATAGGTAAGCACTTAGTCATTAACATAAATCAATTTGCGCAAAGAAGTGAAAGACAAGGCTCACAAATAATGGGTCATCAAGAGCAAGGAAGTACGAGCCAATTAAGGCCTCCTCGACAGACTTGTAAACAGTGTGGCAGGAATCATCTAGGTGCATGCAGGTTTAGGACAAATGTTTGTTTTTGGTGTGGCACACCATGTCATATGATGAGAAACTGCCCTCATAGGGGTTGGGTGGAGTTGCACAGCCAACTAGATTAGTTGTTGCATCAAACTCATCAACACCTTATTTGGGTAGGGGTCTACAGATGCCTACTGGTCGTGGTAGAGGATATAGGGGAGCTGCCAGTTCTAGTGGAGGTTAGAATCGCACATATGCATGCACCAGGGGATCGACAAAATTTAAAAACCTCTCTGGATGTGTTTACAGGTACATTTTCCATCTTTTCAAATATTATGTATGCATTAATTGATCCGGGGTCTACACTATCATATGTTACACCATTGATTGCTGGAAATTTCAAAAGCACACCAGAACTATTAATGAAGCCATTTGAAGTGTCTACATGGGTTGGTGATTCTATTATAGCTATAAGAGTTTATCGTAATTGAAACTGTTTGTGATCGCGATACATTGGATGACCTTTTGAGCTAGCCATGGTAGATTTTGATGTTATAATGGGTATGAATTGGTTAGCTTCTTGTTATTCCACGGTAGATTGCCGATCTAAAAGAGGCAAAAGAGACAGTCCTTCAATGGAAAGGTAATATTGTGGCTCCAAGAGATAAATTTATTTCTTATCTTAATTCAAAGATGATGATTTCCAAAGGATACATATGTCACCTGGTCAAAGTGAAAAATGTAGATGCAGAGCCACCTACCCTTCAATCCGTTGCAATGGTAAATGAATTTCCCAATGTGTTTCCTGAGGATCTTCGAGGGTTGCTTCCAGGATGAGAAGTAGAGTTTGATATTGATGTGCTTCCAAATACTCAACCTATGTCAATTCCTCCGTATAGAATGTCTCCGAGACCTAGGGGAGTTGAAGGAGTAATTAAAAGACTTATTAGAAAAAGGACTCATAAGGCCTAGTATGTCCCCATTGGGAGCACAAGTTTTATTTGTACGCAAAAAAGATGGCTCGTTAAGAATGTGTATCGACTACAGGCAGTTGAATAAGGTGACAATTAAGAACAAATATCCCCTCCCTAGAATTGATGATTTGTTTGATCAATTACAAGGTGCTAGGTGTTTTTCAAAGATCGACCTGAGGTCAGGTTATCACCAAGTGAGGGTGAAGAACAACATACACAAGATAGCTTTCCGAATACGGTATGGTCATTTTGAGTTCTTAGTCGTGTCATTCGAGCTAACAAATGCACCAGCAATTTTTATGGATTTGATGAATAGGGTGTTCAAGCCATTTTGATGTGTTTGTGATAGTGTTCATAGATGAAATTTTGGTGTATTCAAGATTGGAAAAGGATCATTCTAATTACTTGCGGCAGGTTTAGAAATTCATTGTGATCGTAAACTGCATGCAAAGTTCTCTAAATGTGAGTTCTGGTTGAAATTTGTGGCATTCAAACGTCATATTGTATCCGAGGAAGGAATGTGGGTTGATAACCAGAAAATAAGCTGTGAAAACTAGCCAAGACCTACAACGCCTAGGGAGATCCATATTTTGCTTGGATTGGCTGGTTCTTACAGATTATTCATTTAAGGATTCTCTTCCATCGCTGCACCCTTAACGAAGCTAACACACAAAGAAACCACGTTTCTATGGAGTGATGAGCGTGAAAGAAGCTTCCAGGAGCTGAAGAGTAAATTAACTTTTACACTTGTGTTGGTACTTCCAGAAGGCACAGAAGGCTATGCAGTGTATTGTGATGCTTCGGGAGTAGGCTTAGGTTGTGTATTGATGCAGCATGGTAAAGTTATAGCTTATGGATCAAGGCAGCTGCGGTCACATAAGAAAAATTATCCAACCCATGATCTAGAGCTATCAGCAGTTGTGTTTGCTCTGGAGATATGGTGTCACTACTTGTATGGAGTTCATGTTGACATATACATTGATCACAAGAGTTTGCAATATATCTTTAAGTAAAAGGACTTAATCTGAGGCAGCGAAGGTGGATGGAGCTATTAAAAGATTATGACATTGATACCTTGTATCATCCCGGTAAAGCAAATGTAAGAGGTGATGCATTAAGCCATAAAATACTAGCAAGTACTTATAGTCAGTCTTTATAACAACAAGGAATAAGTAAGGATCAATTCCAAGTAGGGTTCACCTTATTGAATCTCAAGACAAAGGGATTATTGTAAAAAAATGCAGCAAAATCCTCATTAGCAGTGGAAGTGAAAGAGAAGAAGAACATTGATCCTATTGTTTTATGGCTTAAAGACAACATGCATTATGGTATGACAAAGGCATTTGACCTTTTGTAAGAGGGAGTACTTCGATATCAAAATAGATTGTGTGTACCTAATGTAGATGAACTAAGAAAGAGGATCGTGATGGAAGCACATCATTCAAGATACTCTGTTCATCTGGGGTCAACTAAAATGTATCATGACTTGAAAGAAATGTATTGGTGGGGGGGGGGACATGAAGAGGAGAACTGCAGAATTCGTGGCTCAATGCCCAAATTGTCAACAGGTAAAAGTAGAACACTAGAGGCCTGGAGGTTATATGCAGCGTATAGAACTTCTGATTTGGAAATGGGACATGATCAACATGGATTTTGTCACTAGTTTGCCTCACTCATTCCGAAAGTTTGACTCCATATGGGTAATAATCGAAAGACTCACCAAAGCAACACACATCTTGCCGGTGAAGACTACTTATACAGCTGAAGAGTATGCGATGTTGTACATTAAAGAGATAGTTTGACTACATGGAGTGCCAATCTCTATAATATCTGATAGAGGAGCTCAGTTCACTGCAAGTTTTTTAAAGTCATTTCAGAAGAATTTGGGAACACAAGTGGATTTAAGTACAACCTTTCACCCTCAAACGGATGGCCAGTCTGAATGTACAATTCAGAAACTTGAGGATATGCTGCGAACTTTTATATTAGATTTCAGGGGTACCTGGGATAATCACCTACCACTTATTGAGTTTTCTTATAACAATAGCTACAATTCGAGCATTAAAATGGAACCTAATGAATCCTTATATGGTCGAAAGTGTAGATCACCAATTAGCTGGTTCGAAACAGGTGAAACTGCCTTATTTGGGCCAGTTCTTGTTCATCAAGCTATGGAAAAAGTCAAAGTGATACAGCAACATCTAGGAACAGCTCAAAGTCGACATAAATCATATGCGAATATTAGAAGGAGAGGACTACAATTTTCTATAGGGGATTGGGTGTTGTTGAAGGTGTATCCAATGAAAGGGGTAATGAGATTTGCTAAAGAGGGAAATTTGAGTCCACGCTATATCGGGCCATATAATATTATTCAAAAATTCTGTCAAGTATCCTATGAGTTAGAGCTACGACAAGATCTTTCATCAGTTCATCCAGCGTTTCATGTCTCAATGCTACAAAAATGCATAGGTGACCCATCTCGTATTACTCTTACTGAAGATGTACAGGTTACGGGAGATCTCACTTATGAAGAAGTACCCACTGCTATTCTGGATCAACAAGTTAGGAAATTAAGAAATAAAGAGGTAGCTTCTGTAAAAGTGTTATGGAGGAACCAACAAGTCGAACATGTTACATGGGAAGTGGAAGAAGCAATGAAATTGAAGTATCCTCATCTCTTTCATATCCAAGAGAAAGATGAAAATGCTTAGTTTATTTGCCGACAAGTAAGTATACGTCTATATGTATTATGTGATAAACAGTAGTACTAACTTATGCTTGAATCTGTTTGGGTTGGATAACTATGGTAACATTCAAGGATGAATGTTTCAACGGGGGGAGGATGTAACAGCCCGTCTTACACGTATACTTGTTCTATTCTTGTGATATTGCTGGCCTTATAGTATAGGTGAGGGACCGTGTTCCTTATATGCTTAGTGTTTGTTTAAACTAGCCAGAAAGTGATGTATCATGCCATGCACGTTTTAGCGTGTTTACTGTAAGTTGACTCCGCTGGATGTATTTAAACTAGAGATAGTAAGGTGGTAATTGAGCTTAAATTTGAAAGTTAATCTCTTTGTTGAAGCAAAAGGATGTAATATTCATAAAATGGAAAAAAATTATTAAGCTTCTTGATTGGCTTTATTAAGCTAGCAGTTGCATCACCTACTTAAGCTATATGGATATTGTTAAAGGGCCCAAAATGGATGGACTTGAAGCCCAAACCTATTAAAAGAAAATAAAAATGAAAGGAAGCCTAATCTGCCAAAGCCTAATATAGATAAAGCCCAAGTGAAAGCAACTAGGTGCATCACCTAGTTGCACCTTTTGAGCTTCTTAATGTGCATAAGCAGGTGCATCACCTACTTGCCCAATTAGTGGCTGAAAATGGACCCCAAAAATGGAGGTTCTAGAGGATATTTTTGTGGTCACCAAAGCTCCTTATATATCCAATATGAGCAGATATCCTTCACTCATTTTAACTCATAAAAAATAAGAATCAACTATAGCTCTCTCTCTCTCTTTTCTCTTAAACATTAAACCCGCAACCTTGGAGTTTTCTAGGGTTCTTGAAGAAATCCTAATATTTGCAAATCAAGGTAAGTGAAAACTCATGAATTTAGCTTAATCTCCCATGGATGATTAGGAAAACATGTTATTCATTCTATTAGAATATTTCCAGAAGCTATTGCTCACTTCCTCAGTTATTAAAATACCTTCTCTCTTCTTTCGTTTAAGTGTGAAGGGAAGCTCAAGTTCTAAAAGAATTCAAGTTATAAGAAGTTGCAGTAATTGAGGTAAGGTGACTGCTCCATTATGTCTTCCATATGTATAAGATTGAGTGAGGAATTAGTGGTGTGCTGTCATGAAGAACTCAAAGGGGTGGAGATTTCAATACTTGGTTGTATGATAAAGAATATTGGGGGTTTTCTATGTGTATTACTATTGCCTCAGCTTGGTTGATTTTGGGGAAAGGATGTATATTGTATGTGATGGACAAAGAATGAGAGAGTGGTGATACACATTATGTTAAGGGCTGTATGGGCTCATTATCTGTCAAAGTTAGCTACTGTTTACGAGGCTCACAGTGTGATAGCTGCTAGTTTTAGTTTACCATGACTTACATTGTAGATTAAAAAGGGGAGGCTGAATCATGATAGTATATCAGTTAGAGGATAAGGTGGCTATTCGATTCTATATCCCTTTGGCATGATTTCTGATACTTGCGATTAATACCAATCAAGTGAATCTCATAAGTTCGATTCCTAGAAAAGGAAACATAGTGGCAGCGTACTATCTCCATATAACTAACAAAATTTCCCCCCTCTCTACAGTGCATAGAATTATATCATTATATGTTCACTATCTAATACTTTTGTATTTATCCCCATATGTGCTGGTATAGAAATGGTATTTGTAAAGGCAAGTTTGGTGAATCCTCCTGTTTATTGTTTGAAGTCAAATGTGTCATTAAGCTCTTAAAGTAATGTGTTGATGTTACATAGCTCCTTATATCATTGTTATTGCCTTAAAGTATTATTTTCATGTCTTCTATTACTGGTCCGTACTTTCATATCTCCAAAATGATCATGACCACCAAAATAACATATCAAAAGAGTAACGACTATCCAAAGAACAATCCTAAAAGAGTTATGAACTGATAAACAACAATCTCAAAGATTGAAGAATATAAGTGAAGATATCTATATAATTACGGGTGGTAGCCCAGGGGCGAAAGCCTAGCGTGGGTTGATCTCATCTGGTACATAAGGGTGACAGCTCATGGGCGAAAGCCTAGCATGGGCCAATCTCTAACTGTATAGAAGGGTGGCAGCTCAGGGGCGAAAGCCAATCATGGGCCGATCCCAAATTCTGTAATTATGAGGACCATATCCCAAGGGTTAATATGCGTAGCATGGCTCATCCTCTTCTACCACTGATCAGCTGGTGACTTGTATCACATGCCCTACAAATATTATAACGTACAGAAAAGTAAAAAAAAACAATGTAATTTACATGATCTCACAAGAGAAAGCAAAGGTGGTTTTGTCTCCTGATCTATGCCCTCATAAGTTGATACTTGATTTCATTTGAGCCCTCATATTCATATGCTATATTGCCTTATATATTCAGTAATTTTTTTTCGTATGGACATTCTTCGCTGAGGATGCTGCATTTCATGATGTAGGCACATGTACTCAAGCTAGTAGACCTCCTCAGGAGGAGCATATGATAATTAGATACTTTTGGTGAGCTCCAGGTTGATTCGAAGCTTTACAGGGTCCTTGGTAAATTCATTTTGGTATTGTATTGTAGTTAAGGGTAAAGCGGGGTCTGTGTTATGCCTCATATTTTTTTATACGTAGTGCGCGTCATGATCTAGTAGACGTAAGTCCGGTGAATGAGATTTTATTTTAAGTTCCAAGTTATTAAAGAAATATTAGGCAAGGATGTTAATTCCAAATGTAATATTAAGTATGATTTGGCTAATGTAAGTGCATTTAACTTTAAGTGAGGGATTAATTAGTGGCTGATTTGGATTAATTTAATCCAGTGGTCCCCACCACTCATAATTGGTGGCTGATTAGGATTAATTTAATCCAGTGGGCCCCACCACTCAAGGCAAAAATTTAAAAGGGATCAGATTGTGGGCTGGCCTTAGTGGACAGGTGTAGAGGGGGGCTGCCTCCACTTCATACTTTTAAATGAGGTGGAGAAATCCACTCCATGCTAAATAAAGTGGTGAAATACATTGCTGCATATCATCTTCTTCTTCACCACTTGGCTTAGGCAGCCATGTAAATGGAGAAACCTACCCTGCAACTCTTGGCCAGCAGCTGCAAATAATTTGGTTAGTAACCTCCTTGTTTCGTGTGTTAATTCTTTAGAATACCTTTGTTAATTAACCATTAATATTAGAAGGGGGCGTGACCAGTATCTTAGAAAGTTTGTTTTAGTTATTAAATGTGCTAAGTATGAACGGAAACCATAATCGGATTATTAGTGGTGTCGTGTTGGTGCTTGGGCTGTTTTGATTAAAGCAAACTGCGAGAAAATTCTATTTTGGCATTATGTATATGTTAAATGTGATTACGAGTATATACTCCAAAGGATGAATACGATAAGATAGATGTGTTGCGAATTATAAAAAGAGTTATCGCTCGGTGTGTCGTTGCTTCGCTGCTATGGTTGCCGAGACGGAACTGTTTTGGGGAGGGGGCTGTTTAATATGATTCGTTGGGTTATATGTGTTATTGGTATTGCTGTGGACAATTTGGGTTGTTATCGGATTTGGACGAAGTAAAGAAAATAGGGGAAGTGCTGCCGAATTTTTGTCAGATTATTAGCTAGCTTATAAGAAAGTAAAGCGCGGCGTTTATCTAATTGCGGCACAATTGTTGCTTGTTATAGATTATTAGCTTGAGCAGTAAATTTTGGACGTGTGGCTCGACTATATGGTATGGAATGCTGTCCCTTCTTTCTTTGA